CTCCTGGCATCACTACTAGGAACCCGGGCATCGCTACTAGGAGCAAGGATTCTACTAGTTCTTTTCCGAGAAATCTTGTGACCCGAGCCTGAAGCTCTTCCGGAGACACCTCTCGTGCCTGTCCCAGTCAGTCGTGCGAGAGAGTGTCTCAAATTCGATGCAACACTTCGTCTACGATCAACGGATCCAGAAATTCTGACCTAACTGTCTTCAGAAATTCATCTTCTAGTAACAAGTGCCTCGCTACTAGTAACAAGTGCCTTACTAGTAGTAACAAGAAGCTATTAGAAACAATAAGCTACTAGTAACAAGGGCATCGCTTCTAGTATCAAGTGCCTTACTAGTAGATTTCAGAGAGCAGGTGCTTTTTGGAACATGCAATCACCAGCGGTGCTTCTTGGACTCCCATTTCACGATCGTCATCTACTCCCCGTCGAACTCTCCGAACTCAGGCGTTCACTTGCCGCTGCTTGAAGCAACATCGCAAGAGCAGGAGAAGGCCTAAACGGACTCGTCTCGTGTGCACCAAGGACCGGATTTTGGTAGGCAGCTCACCTGTATTGCGCAGCTTTGGCGAGGCAAGCTTTACATAGCTTTACACGAGCCAGAACTCCAGGAAACGGGCCCTAATCACAAAATCGCTAGTGTTCCCCGTCCCTCAACGTGAAGGTTTCTGCCAGGTCGACATCAACACCCCAGCGACGGCCTCCAACCTACTAGCGATGGCCTCCAAAAGGAAGATTTCTTGCCTTTTCGCCTTTCTCTTTTCTTGGACCCCAAGGTAACCCGAGTTTGCACAAGGGTCAAGGAGAGCCTGCAATGAGCACCGGGAAGGCCACGGCCAGGAGGATGCCAGCCTGTTTGCACAAGAAAATATTCCACGTCAACGTCAACTGCACGCGCGACAAAACCGATTCTCCATTTGAAAACTCGGCATCCCCTCATGGTTTAACTTCTTTGCCTTCGACCCCGATTTGTATTACTTAAAGTAGTCACTTCCCACATGTTTGAATGCAAATGACTACAGCTCGTGGTAAAACCGGGCAATCAAAACATCTTCCAACAGGAACCACTGGAACCACCATCAAGCTTTGGTTGGGAACAAACATGTGGCAAAATCACACACCCAAACCTGCCTTCGCTGAAATCATGTGCCAAAACAAATATACTCGGCTTTCCCTGATTTTCATTATCATTATCTTTCCCCGGTTTCCTGCGTTCTTCATTCTGGGAGGTAGTTTAGGTGTCTTCCCCCTCCTTGAGGCTCTCCTCAAGAACTCCTGAAATAGAGATCGAACCAATCGTCGAATCGTCGCAACCAAAAATGTGTTCTCTTTCACCATGGTTGGAGGCCATCGCTCTTAGGAGCAAGGACGCCACCTTAGAGGCTCCTGGCCTTAGTTACTAGGAGCAAGGACGCTACTAGGAGCAAAGGGCATCGCTACTTACCTGTAACAAGGGCATCCCTTACGAACGGAGCGTTCGGACGCTCTGAGGTTGGAGGCCAGTCCTTCCCAAGCGGCTCGTCGGCGTACGTTTTCCCCCGGCCTCACTGGGCGACACTTCACACTTCGGAGCTTCGAAGCATTCGTTGCCCCGTTCCGGTTGCTCCTGTTCGTTGGTCGTTCGTTCGCCGGTTGCGCTCGCACCGCTTGCGTCGCTTCTGTATGTTGGGTGTCGTTGACGGATGTCGCGTATTGAAAGCATCGATTCGTGGAAAGGCTTGAGTCAGTGTGAGTGTGATTGTGTGTGTTTTTGTGTTCCTTTTTCATAACCTGAGAGACTTTAGCCCCTTGTTTGGACGGACGACGGACACCTTGGGATTTACCTACTCCGTACTACCGTACCACAAACAACCACGATTGATTGATTGATTGATTGATTGACCAATTCTGCAACGCTCGATCAGCCAGGGCTGATTGCTGTTCGCAAATCTCCTTATCGCAACAGCTCAGCTCCCAGGTCACAAAGAGGTTTCGCCTGGTCTGGCCAGCCCGCAGAGCGTGGCACTGATTTCATGTCAATCTGTAGGAGAAGCATTACTATGATGATCAAATTTTGAAGGAGTTTGTAAGCAAAATCGCTTGAGCCCAAAATCGATGTGTTTTGTTCATTTCAAGTGCAGCGTGTTGACCTCCAAGGTGAGGTCCTTCCGTTTCCAAGAAGTTCCCTAGATGAGCCTGACTACGCTCAGATCTCAACTACCCGACTGCGCTTTGCTTAGGCTTAGTCTGCTTGCATTAGGGACATGACTAGTCGTCAAACAGGAAGACCAACATGTGGTTTGAACAAGATTGTTCGAGACCTTATGAGGTTTGTCAACCTATGCTTACCAGCCTCATCTTCTGGAGGACCACTCGACCGCCGAGTGCTGTGTTGCTATGATTAAGAATTGTCTAGAGCATCCACCTGCGTTGCTTTCCACTCACCAACGCATTCTTCCGAACCCACTCTTTGTCTCATCTGAGTGGCCTCCAATCCCAAAGCCATTTGGTAGCATAAAGTTAGACATCAGCAATACAGTTTGCTATTAGGTTGGAGGCCATCGCTACTAGGGGCAGGCCATCGCTATTATTAGGCTCCTTTTTTCCTAGGTTGGCGGCCATGAGCCAGTATCAGCCAGTTCAGCCGCTTGACTGGTCCCACCAAGATGACTACTAACTACTACTAACTACTAACTACTAATAATAAGAATGGATTCTTTAGAATTGTCATCCTTCGTTCGGCCAGAGACCGAAAAGTGTCTACCGAGTCACGCATGGCAGGTGCCATCTCCCCCCCATGACCAAGTGGCTGCCTGAGTGCAAACGCAGCGACCTTTGCAAAAAAGCATATAACAAAGACTCACGACATTGCCATGGCAAAAGTCAAATAAGAAGGTGTGAATTCGACGCCGTCGATTTGAACTGAGGCCATGCTTGAGCG